TGTGATCGTTGGTGTCTGACCAGAACAATATTTTTAGTTTTTATAATACACAGCATGCATTCTTTAAAAGATACCCAGTTTTTACTTTGTTATTTCCTATTTATTGTGCCGATGTTAAAAAACGATTTAAAGCTGTGTGTTAACTACCAGTTTATTGCTCCATCGCTCTATAATCAGATAACCCAGCTGATCTTTATAACAGATATATTTAGACCGAAGATAAAATGTACAACGCTTTTTGGCGGCTTGCTTTGTTTGTGCGAGGTCAGTCGTTTTCTGTCAAAACTTTTGACAGATCACGCAACGGCTGCCAAGTAATTAGAGAGGGGGCGGGAAACGATTTTCCGGGGCCTTCCGTGCAGGCGCTTCCTCTCCCCTCGCGTGTCTCCTTCTCGCGCGCCCGTTTTTTCTTTTGCCCACTACTTCCAAGCGCCTGCTACGCAGGCTACAAGAAAAGACGGGAATTTTGGCTCGAAACTCACACACCTCTGTGGCTTCTAATTGGACGTATCATTTTTCTCACATGTGAAAAAACATTGTTCACGATTCTGATTGGACGTATCATTTTTTTCACCTGTGAAAACCATAGTTCACTCCTCTGATTGGCTAGAACTCATTTGCGTATCAAAATTTACAACAGAATATTTTGGTGAGTATTTCTCCGTATGTATATAATAAGAAGGAGGGTGAAATTTGACATTCTTTTTCTCGGGCTCCCATAAGAAATTTTCTTTGGTGTTATTACAAATGACTAATTGCATATTTAGCCCAAAAAAGGGAAAAAGGTTGTGATATGGTTTAAATTATTCTAGTACAAGGTTTTGTTTGCATAAGAAAGGAGTTCAACTCCCACAGGACTGGTTTGGAACACCAACATGGCCGCCGTTTCATTGTTTTGGGACACCATTATGGCCGTCGTGACGTCATGTGAAAACACTCCATAGTATTCCTGGATGGATAAGACGAACATTAATGCGCTTGTACCATCAATTGAGCGTTCTTTACATTCAATATACAAAAATCTATTTTCAATTAAACAATACCAATTCCCCCCCAAAATTGGCCTGAATTTGTTTAAAGAATCACGCCGTACTTCGCCACTGTGTGTTCGTCGACGGTTGCGGCTATACATTTACCCTAGACTGCCAGAAGTTATGGTGGGGCGCTACAGGGAGTGGAGGGCGTACCGCCAAGTGTGCGGCCAACGAGGACGAAACTTGACTATGACCATGGCAATATCACCTATCAAATGTTTCCCTCGGCAGCTGCTGGAGTAATGAATACTGTGTCGGTTTTTCGGTGACTTTCTGGCACGGGTGAGGAAAAAATCGATTCCGATAAGTCGGTGGTCTTTGCGTATGACGGGGTGCCAGCCCACCTAGATTTGGCCATTCCCACCCCATACGTACACAGCTTATGCTTCCCCCCTCGACATCGTTGAAAAGGATTTAAGTTGTCTGAAAGCGACACCAAAGGCCGACATCTCGAGTCCGGAAATTAAAAGATGTATAACAGGAATGAGAGCAAAGCCCGAGCAATCCCACTAACGGACTTCGGAAACAACAATTGCAGTGCTTGAAGCTCTGCGCAGAAAAATGACATCGTGACCGCAGCTAAATTTGCTAAGGGGTACCGTTTCATGCAAAACCACCTCCCAAAATGTTTACATAGCGAGGTTTTTAAGGAATATACATTTAACGGACTGAAATTCAGGCCAAATTTGTTTAAACGTCTATTGTTTAATTGAAAATCAATTTTTGTATATTAACACACTCAAGTGATTGTACAAGTGCATTAATGTTTGTCTTATCCATCCTAAGGTTGTCCAGGAATACTATTGAATTGCAAACAGTGTCAAAAAAATGTTAATGAATAGTGTTTGCACTTTAATGTATGTCAATTGTCCCTATTGACTTTCAAGATGGTGATTAGTATATTTTTCTCTTTTGTATGCCCAATGACGCATATGAATGCCCAATAGTGTTATTGAATGCTAAATAAGACCCTGTTTACATGGAGTGGGGGACCCCGGTCTAGTGGGGTAAGTTTCTTTTGTTTTGTGTCCCCCAGAGCGTGAAAACAAAAGAAACTTACCCCACTAGACCGGGGTCCCCCACTCCATGTAAACAGGCCCTAAAATGCAAAAATCGTAATTGAATCTGATTTATGCGCATATGTTCGTATTTTCGCGCTAATGAATGTATCTTCGCACTATTGGTCGCCATTTCACGCAAATGATTGCGTATTTTTTCGTAATGAACAGCAAAAGGTGTAGTTGATAAAGATTTCTTTGTTCATTGTTTTCGCAAGTTATTTCTAGTGTTGGTAGTCTTGACTGCACAACGTCAGAACGTTTAATAACACTCCAATCAAACACTCATTGATTTATTCAGTAACAAATTGTGAACCAGAAACAAAAAGCAAAAGATTGTACTCGGTCAGCAAGATAAGCTGCAGCACCATAACCATTCTCCTCTACTAATTATGGTCAACATAAAGA